ATCCGCCCGTCTCGGCCTCCCAAAGTGCTGGGATTACAGGCTTGAGCCACCGTGCCCGGCCTCAAAATTTTTAAAAAATTAGTTGGGCATGGTGGCACCTGTAGTGGCACACCTAGCATGGTGGCATGCTAGGACCTGTAGTCCTAGCTACTCAGGAGGCTGAGGCAGAAGGATCCCTTGAACTCAGGAGGCAGGAGGTTAAGGCTGCAGTGAGCTGTGAGCGGGTCACTGCACTCCAGGCTGGAGTGAGACCCTTTCTCAAAAACAAACAAAAAACCAAACTTGGATAACTGACAAACAGTTTAGTATTTAATTACATGGAAAAACCAACAAAACAAGACAATTATTAACTCCAGAAAAAACTAAAAGTTGTGTGGGAAAGAAAAAGTAATCATAGTTTGGTACATAACTTGGCTGTGACTACCATTTACATGATTATAATAGCATATGTACTGAAGATTAATCAAAATCAGAATGTAACTATCTTGGGAAGATGGAGAGATTAAAAAAAAAAAAAGGTTGGGGGTGAATATGGGGTGAAAGTAATGGAGAAAAAGAGCTAAAGTCTCCTCTTGTGTCTCAGCACTCCACCCAAGGTAGAGCCTCTGAATGGAAGAAGGACTTTGCCACCTCTCCACCACACTTCCCCAGGATTTAGCTTCAGCATCAGGTAGCTAGGGGCAAGATGAGAAATGCTGACATGCTGCTCTCTGACTGGGAGCTGTGGGAAGAGAGAGGTTCTTAGTTGCAGCCGTCTGGAGTGGAGTCTGTCTTGCTGAACAAAGGGAGAGGTTTGGTTTAAATACCACAAACTCTCACATTCTGATGCAAGAGTTTTTATAGATTTTTTGGAATACATGTTTCTTCATTTGCTGTTTGCCCTTAGGACCATTTCAGAGGCTTAAAATAGTTAATGGTTGTTTGTTGTTTTAAATAATTTTCAGTTTCACTAGGGGTGAATCCTGAGCTCTTCATGCCGTCCTGCAGTTAGTCTCTCTTGGTATTATTCTTCACCTTTCCTGTGAGTTTAAAATTATTTCAAGAAAAGTTAAAGCTTTTTAAGAATCACAATAAAGTAGATAGATAATAGGAATAAATAAAAACTTAGCGGGGCGCGGTGACTGACGCCTGTAATCCCAGCACTTTGGGAGGCCGAGGCGGGCGAGGATCACTTGAGGCCAGGAGTTGGAGACCAGCCTGGCCAACATGGTGAAACCCTAAAATTAGTCGGGCATGATGGCCTGCGCCTGTGGTCCCAGCTACTCGGGTGGCTGAGGGGGTTGGATGGCTTGGGCGCGGGAAGTCCAGGCTGCAGTGAGCCGTGATGGCGCCACTGCCTTCTAGCCTCGGCGACAGTGCGAGACCCTGTCTCAAGAAGGAAAACAAAAAACAAAAACATACACACACAAAAACCACAAAGTGCGTTCACGTTTGCTTTGACTCCCAGACATCAAATCATAAACACTCGCGCCGAGCGCGGTGGCTCACGCCTGTAATCCCAGCACTTTGGGAGGCCGAGGCGAGCGGATCACAAGGTCAGGAGTTCGAGACCATCCTGGCCAACAGTGAAACCCCGTCTCTAATAAACACAAAAATTAGCGGGGCGTGGTGGTGCGCGCCTGTAGTTGCAGCTACTCGGGGGGCTGAGGCAAGAGAATAGCTTGAACTAGGGAGGCGGATGTTGCAGTGAGCTGAAATTGCGCCACTGCACTCCAGCCTGGGCCGCAGAGTGAGACTCCGTCTCAAAAAAGAAAGAAGAAAAAAAGAAAGAAAGCAAAAAAAAAAAAACCAAAAAAAACCCAAAAAAACCTCGCAGTGTTTACTCCTAACGCGTGGAACTTGTGTCGACATCCACCCTCGGTTACTGCATACTCAGTCACACAAGCCAAAGCAGGAAATAGCGAGCTGGCAGCCTCACCGACGAGTCTCAACTAAAAAGGACTCCCGGAGCTAGGGATGGGGACTCGGCCTAACACAGTGAGTGCCGGCTATTGGACTTTTGTCCAGTGACAGCTGAGGCAAAAGCCCAGGGCTATCCAAAGACCACGGGAGGGGGTGTGGGAGAGAAGCGCTGCGAACAGCCATCGCCCAGCACCGAGTCCGCTTCCAGGCTTTCGGTTTCTTTGCCTCCATCTTGCGTGCGCCTTTCGGGCGTCTAGGGGAGCTAAGGCTGAGGTGTCAGCGGCAGGAGAGTCCGGCCGCGACAGGACGGTACGTGCCCCACGCTCTACCCCCCGCCGGCGGCGCCGGAGCTGTCCCAGACCCCAAGCCCCGACGCCCGGCCCTGAGTCAGCGTTGCAGCAGGCCCTGCGCCGCCGCGCGCCCGCGTCCCACTCCTGCGTCCCACTCCTGCCGCTCCTCACAGCCCTGCGCTCCGGGAAACTGCAGGTGGCCGGCAGTGGCCAGGGGATGGCGGGGGCGCTTCTGGAACCTGACTCAGTTTTGTAGATTTCTTATCTCGGTTGTTTACCGCGGGCTGAGCGGAATGCCCCCGCTTCCGCTTCCGCCCCGCTCCGAAACCCCGAACCCCTTCTACTGGCAACTCCGCCCCGGATT